CGGCGCGGAGCCGGCAGAGAGAGAGGCAGCGCAGTGTTGGGGGAGCGCGGGCGCAGGCAGGTCGCTCTACTCCTCGCTCTTCGCTCCTCGCTCCGCGCCACCTGCCGCCGCCGCGCAGCGCTCCACAGCAACGCTCTCGGGCGCAGTCGCGTTTCTCTGCGTGGTGCAAGGGGAGGACGCAAGGAAGAACCGCGACCTGTGGCGTTGCCAGTGCACGGAAGGCGCAAACCCGTGCGGTGCAGTGCGCGTGCTGCCGAGGGCAGCGAGGACGCGATGGCTGTGCTGGAGGCGGTGCTGGGCCCGGTGCGCCGCGCCTCCTGAGCCATGGGCGCCGTGGTGCTGTGGGTGGTGATGTTGGGGGTGGGCGCGGGGGCGGTGACGGTGGGCGGCGGCGGCGGCGCCCGCTGCGAGAGGATCACCGTGTCCATGTGCCACGACGTCGGCTACAACCTCACCGCCATGCCCAACATGCTGGGCCACGAGGACCAGCTGCAGGCCGACCGGGAGGTGAGTCGCCCCAAACACACCTCACGCTGTTTTGTTTCTCAGGGACACATTTCGTATCTATTCCACATAAATGTTTGTAAATAAGATAATTGTTTTATGTGTTATACGTTCACTTCCATGAAACTACATTTCTTTACAATTGAAGAGTTTGGATCAGTAAAACATACGCCACACTACCAATGTAAACTTCCCGCTGTTCGTTTCTGTTAAAATTTCGATTTTTGTTGCAAAGAATTTCGTTATTGCTTCAAACCCTTTACAAATTCTGAAGGCAGCAAGATAATCCATCACAAAAAACGAAATAATAACCTTTAATAACAAGTCTTGCTGGGACTGGAATGGCTTATCGGGTTATTGCTCTGAGCCCTTCAACTGATAAAATGGTGAAAAGGTATTAAGTAAAACAATAAATAATTAAGAAATATATAAAAGTACATAAAAGAAAGAACCTGCAGCACGTATTTCTTTTCAGTAAAAAATCTTTTACGAGTACATTTCTTGTCAGTTCCACCAAAATGTCTTCAAATTGCACTTGTAACTTGTTTTTGTATGTCCACTTTTCTACTGCTCCGTACAAAGTAACGAAAGTCTCAAACTCTCCTTTGAACGCGTGAACCTATTAGCTGACTGTCTTCTTAAGACGTGTTTTTGATAAGAGCATAACCAACGCTGTGAGATACAGAATGTGGATTGCCATTATTCTCTTTAAATTAACTACTTCCAGCCTCAACTCTCATTCGAAAACATCTTCCAAATAACTCAGCATTACTTATCATTCCTGAGGAGGCACGTCCAACACTGATCGAAGAGTCTTAGAGGGTGCCAAGCAGAGCATTCTGATAGTAATTATTGTTCATTAATTACTACTACATTATCTTCCGAATATCTCAGCATTAGCTAAAGATTGGTAGCAACATGAAATGGTAAAAAATAATTTGTACTAAATGAAATTAACTTAATTGCTCCATTGTAATAGCTATATACAATACGAGATCTTACTTACTACGCATTTGTCCAATTAAAATTTCCATTGATTAAAATCTTTGAATTCGCATGAATTCAATGATAACTCCAATCAGTATCTTCATTAGAGAGGGATAGTCTTTTTTCTCAAGTTAAACAATAATGATATTTTTGTTACAGTTGACAATCATGTCACGTGTATTAAACATAACCAATAGCAAGTCTGCCTTCGTCAAAAATGGATCAGGCAAAAAAATTTCATAAAACTACCTTATGCTCGTCAGTTTTGCGCCCCAACAGGAAAAAAATACCTGCTTGTAATGTCTGGATATGCACAAACCAACAATATAACTAGTTGTAAGAGCGGCCTCTTACGAGAAGAATATGATAGCATTCATTATTTTTTTTTTCATGCGGTCTTCATTGGTCTTCAAATTGCAACTCATGATGCCATACCAACCTCTCTCAATCTGCTTTGAATTTACGTACGTTACAATCCTTTCCTATCCCCTTGTGTATGTACTGAGCGGAATAGTCGAGTCGATAGGCAATTCTCTTATTGACACTTGTAAGCCTGTGTTCTCCAGGAGAGACTTGCTTGCGTTGCGTCCCCACGTGGGACTTGGTTCATTCAGAGGCATCAACGCTCACTGACAGAGGCGTCTCAGTGATCAAGAATTTAATCCGTAAAATAAAGCTAGTCTGATCATTTAATGATATCATCAGCAGGTGTCATTTATCATTTGTCGTTTATCACTACGTAACATTTGTATTATTTTTTCATTGCACTAAATAAAGCTATCTCAGATTGAAATTCTAAAATACTGCTCGTAAGAATACATCCTGTCTTGGTATTTATTTCCTATTAAAAAAATAAACATATTTCGTGTGAGTGCTTTAAAAAGCATCATCTGTATGGGTTCATGCTACATTTCAAGAGTATAATTTTCTCTAGAGGGTACATAAACTGAACTATGAAAATTTAGTTGCTTCAAAGTAATTCATTCTTGTTCCCTAATAGTCAGCGCTTTTAACATTTCCAACAAAAAATGCATGTTCTCTTTAGAATAGTTACGTGCAATGATTAATGATCTGTTGCTCGGTAAAAGAAATGAACAAGGAAAAATAAATTTATTGTGGTGCAGTAATGTCGGAGGAGAATCATAATCCTGAATGGGAAGCCAGAGCTGACAGGAGAGCCAGTGAAGCGAAATCCTTTCTCATGTCGGTATGGAAAGTAATTATATAATCAAAGGAGCCTCCTTAATAAAATTATTAATAAAAAACAAACAATGCGATTCGATTGTTTTTCACAGGTAGATCCAACTGGAGGCACAACGGTTGTGGAGCCTCAAAACGAATTTTATTTTGGAGATAACCCTCAACATCGCACATGTGCACTACTAATGATGTCAATAACGTAATAAATCTTTAAGCGATAAAGAGGACTTGTGGTGCGTTCTGTTCGCCTGCTTGCTGGATGTCGCGCGGAGCATAGCAGTGAGCCGAGCGTTGCTCCCACGCCCCTCAGGAGCGATGCGCGTGGGCGGCGCAGGTGGCGGTGAACGGGCCCTAAGGCTGCGCGCGTAGTCTGGCCCTTTGCTTAAATTACTGAGTTTCTCCCAGACGTATAGGTTAGAGAAACAAAAATTCGAATAATAAGATAATGTCATCCACGTGACTCTTCGAAACCTCTCTTCATCGAACTGGGAATCTTACCAGGTCTTGCCTATTTATTTACGAATCTGTAGTTTGTGCCCAAAGGAACTTAACTGTCGGACATGTTTTCATAGAATTATTATATTTATAATTACCACACACGCGTAGAAATCACAATCTTCAATATCAACAGCTCGGGAATGCGTTAATATTTTGTTAGCAATACTAAAACATTATATCTGCAGTTTGTTTACCGATGCAAATAAGTTTTCTATAACTCGGGAGCGAAAATGTCTAGTTTTCAAATGTTGCTGACCTCACTTCTTTTCAACTTTTATTCATCAATCAACTATTTATAATTAAAATGTTGGGAAACTATTGTAGAGCTTAAGAAAACGTGAAGAGAACATACAATAATTGCAATCTTGCGCGTGCCTCTGGCGGTTGTTGACGGAGTTGACGGAGGAGCGTGGAGGACGGGCGTGGACGGAAGGCGAAAGGGGAGACCGCGTGCGGCCTTTTGGGGAGGCGCTGCTCCGCCGGCTGCTCGAAGCCCACACCGGAAGCGGTGGCTCAGTCCCGACGTCGGAAGGACTTTCCACACCAGCTTGTCAGCTACGTCCAATTCTAGCGGCCGGCTGCTCCGATCAGTACTTTCCCGTGGTTTGTCCGATCAATACCAGGTGAATGCTGGAACACTACCCTATCAAACGGACCACGCGCAATCTTTCCTTTCCCTATCATGACCACTCACACACACATGCACTACACTACCATACATGCCGGAAGACCGGTTGGGAGCTTAGAGATAGTCCCGGCTGAGGTGGTACCCTGCTGGTGGGGAAACCTCGCTAGCCGACGGTGGGTCGGCGCCGGATCTTTGCTTAGAGCGGGGCGGTCACCACCACCTCACGCGATGCAAACACGAACCACACTTTCGGGATTAATGACCGTAGTAGTTGAATCACTACAATTCGCCTTCGTCCGGGGGTTCTTCTCGCTGGCGAACGGCCGACGGGGCCCTCGCGGCCTGGCCAAGGGGAGCGTTTCGGCACGTCTCTCCGGGACGGACGCGGATGCGAGGGAGAGGGCGTGTTGCCTTCTTTAAACATTTAGAGGGCAATATTTGAAAATTACTCACAAATAGGGGGAAGTACTAAACACGAAAAGGGTGACAAAGTCTCCGATTATTTGTTATTAACCAAACACTTAACGGATGGAATTGAATTGCAATGATTTTTGTGGTTTCTCGTCATATATGCTTATTTCTTATCAGAATATTAACTATAAGTTTAGGTAAACAGCCCAAATTAATATTTTATGGTAATATTCTTTTCAACGAGTGTTATTATTGACGTTAATCCATCCAGAAATGCCAAATGCATTAGTATTAAATAGCACGGAGAATGGCGGCTTGACGGAAGTGAAAAGGGATACGAGTATTCCCTCAAGATGTGTTTTAGAAATAATACGTAAATTACTGAAATTACATGTGAAACACGAGTTGTGAAAGAGAAGGATAGTTGATAAGTTGCGTGCCAAATTGGACGTGGGGGGGCTCAACTTGACCAGTGAGAAATAGAGTTGCAAACGAGAGAATAATACAACGTTGACTCGTCATGATATGGTGATATGGAAAACGAAGTTATTGTTACACCGTATCAACGGAAGGGGTGGATTAGAATGTACAAGTGACGAAAAAACGTGGTAGAGAAGGAGTGATAAGAAGCAGCCTTAGAAGTACAGTTGAAAGAAGACTAAGAAGAAGAGAGAGGAGGAGGAGGGATGGTCGGCGTGCCGTCGCTCGAGTGCAACAAATCGGAGGGTAGGTTCGGGCCGCGGCGTTCCGCTGCGAGACAAAAGCGCGCGGGCGGGCGGAGCAGCTGCGCGGCGCGGAGGGGCGGGGC